CAGCTTTACCATAAAGCTCATGTGGTCACCTTGAGGTGATTACAACCTCTCAGTTTAACCTACTTTACAGGACTGTTAAGATAAAAATGGGGATGGGAGTGAGAAAAATATTGTACAGCTCCTTTAGCTTCAGAAAGATAATGGAATAAAACTAGTTCAAGTACATATAGCTGGAAAGCCAAGATTATCGTGAAGAAATTGATGCATTTCAGTGGCCTTTTAGGATGTTACATGAGTTACAGCCTTGTAGAAATTTACTTGGAAGTAAGAGCCACTGAACTTAATGTGATTTACTTCTGAGCAGTTACATCTATTGCCTTGTTCATGTAAATTAACTTGAAATGTATAGAAAAAGTTCTATTATTCTCTCTCTCTCTCTCTCTCTCTCTGGGTGCATCTATAGAATTAATGCAGTTTGATATCACTTTCATTGTCATGGCTTCCTACCCCCACCCGCCTCTGATGTTTTTGTTAGGGCAATCACTTTTCCCAAGACTGCCTCCCACCCACTTTTTTCATGGATTGATGGCTTGTCCTTGTGAAAACATTAAATAGTTTTACTGCTGGTAGTGCAGAGTTCAAGTTGGAGTTCTGAATCCAGGGTTCTGCTGGGACAGAGAATTTACTGGAAAACCTACATGTTCCTGGATATATTCCTGTGATTTTGGAGATGTTTCCAGGGTATGACTAATACAGAAATATTTTGATGTAGTCACTTTGCACAAAGTTCAGAACACCACCGGAATCCGATAACTAAATAGGTTGGCATGACTTATCTCTCTCAAAGCATGGAAATAATTAGTTTTAAATAGCTTTGTTACTTGTAATTTGTTCCTTTTTCCATTTCCCAGTTATTTTCGCTACTTGTATCATCAAGGTGATGTGCTCAGAGGAGAAAAGCCGTATCAAGTGCTGGATTATTCTGTGTCTCGTGCTTTGTGTGTTTTCTTGTAGCATGAAACAGAAGTTTATAACATCCAGTTTAGGTTATTATTTTAATCCAAAAACAGGAATGTTTTTAAATAGCTACATCTATAATTGCTATTACAGCCAGCATATCTCATTAGCTGGGGTTAGGGGTTTGGGACCCTTAATGAAAATGGAAACGCTGCAAATAAAAAAAAAGTGAGAGATGTTGTATCCAGCACTCTTTAAGTCTTCCAGTACAACTCCATGGTCAACCTTTGGTATAAATAGACCATAGAGTGGCACTGGAGCACCTAGAAATTCCTAGAAAGACCATATTAATAAAAAATCTACAAGTAATCAAATCCACAAAAGTTGAACGCACAAGTGTGGAGGAGCAACTGTAACTACATTTTGGGTATTCTATACAGTTTCTTTTTCATGTCAACAGCAACTTGAGAAACTGCAAGTCACTTCTGGTGTGAAAGTTACCTCTATACCATAGTAACTCACTACTGTTAAACAGTAAATTTCCAGGTTCTGTTTTCTGTCTTCCATAGGAAAGTCAGAAAAAAGCAATGAGGAGAGACAGGATGCCTATCAACAGGATATTTTCAGACACTCTCAGCCTCTTTGAACAAGGCAAGGCAGCTGAACTGCAGTCACACCAGGTAGCTCCCTCAGTCCTATTACAGTGGACTTCAAATATGTCTTTTACTGGCAATGTTGCAATTTTATTCACAGTGAATGGGTTTCCAGCTTTGTGCCCTAAAACACACAATACGGTGTGGAATAGAAAAATCACAATCCTGCATTTTGAAAGTTAACCACTTTAAACTGCATTTGAATTCAATAGGACTATACCTCTTGTATTAAAATCCATGTAACATCATATATTTTAATGTTGATGGTGATTGTGAGGTCAAATTAGACTAAACCCACAGATATGAAGGGCCCATGCCTCACAAGCATTACATTAACAGCCCAAAGTTTCAGATAAGAGTGAAGACTCATCAGGGTGAAGACAAGCAACAGAGGTTTATTCAATCTGACCTGAAAGGATGCATATACGGCTGATGCCAAAATGTACAAATAGAAAGCATGAATTTAGACAGCATGGGTTTTAAAGCAGTTTAATTTCCATTCAAGCTCCTTGCTCCTTCCCCAGATTGGCCAAAAGAAGGGGCTGGCCTGGGCCCGCTCTCTGGCTGGGCTTCACTGATGTCACTGGCTCCAGGTGGAGATTCTCTCCCAGCTAGGAAGGGATGGTTGTGGTTGGTTTCTGACATCTTAATCAGCTGTGGGAAATGGCCTTCTGGGATGGGATGACCCCAGGAAATTCCTGTGACCATATCTGGGGGTTCAGTGGGCTTCCGACTACCACAATAGTCCAGCTTTGGGTGATAAATATGGGGTTATGATAACTAAGTGTCCGGAGTCCCAGAAACAATGGGTGATAATCTTCGCCATTAGAGTCCAGACTTGGGTGTTTATTGTGAGTCCTTGGTGATGAGGAAGTTTTCTGGGGGAAAACAGGCATGAGGAATCTTGAAGAAAAGGTGATGATCTCCTATAATCAAGCTTGGGTGTCAAATAAAGGAATGCAAATGAGAATACATAGTGTGAGTCCCTGTTTCTGTGGCTAGTATTTTCTCAGCCCGATGGAGACTATCATCTGAGCAAGTACCAGCTGGTGTTATCAGATTGGGAGCGGAAACTGCCTGCTGATCTACATGTGCCCACAATGAGCCTCCATTGTCACCTTTGTTTAGGGCATCACCCAGTCCCAGATGTCCAGGAAATTCCTTAATGGGGTGAGCAAGGAAGTGAAGATCCCTGTGGCTTGTCTGGGTCAAAATCATACACTTGATACATATATTGGATATGTTGTTGTTGTTCATTCGTTCAGTCGTCTCCGACTCTTCGTGACCTCATGGACCAGCCCACGCCAGAGCTCCCTGTTGGCCTAAAGGATATAAGATAGGCAAAAAGTTACAAAAAATATAAATTTCATTAAAGAGTTGGGAAACGATAACGTCTTTGTATGAGATTCGCTGCTGCAGATCTGGTCTGCATGTAAGCTCATATGTATCAACGCATACATTTACATTTCATATAAAAAAAATATCCAGGAAGAGTGGTGGTCATAGTTCTGTCTGCCGGTATTGCTAATTGCTGGAACCGTGGAGGTTTAGTCAAATAATAATCATATCCTACTGTCCTTGGAGAACTATAAATCTCTGGGGTGGGGGTGAAGTGTTTGACAGCAGCTGAGTGTATGTGCTGTCAACTCACCTGACAACTTATGGTGTCCTTAAATTTTCATAGCATTTTATTAGGCAAGGAATAGTCAGAGGTAGCTTTGCTGCTCCTTTTCAGAAATATAGCCCAGGGCTGACCCTGCTTAGTTCCCAAGATCAGATGGGATATGTGCCTTTAGCTTATTGGGCAATGCCTTAAATTGTTACCTAGGATAGCTATTGCTCATTATACGTGTTTTATATCTGTTGTAGGGTGGTCAGATTCAGAGTGCTCAGAAGTTGAGGAAGGGGATGTTGGGATAGAGTTGGAGGACCCATGGGAAGATAGAAGTAGCCTGGAGAGAGTTGTTTTGGAATCTCCTGGCAGTTCCCATGAGACTGAAGAAAGTGATATCCATTCTCATGAGAATCTGCCAGAAGTGCAGGCTGAGAGATATGTGGGAGATAAATGTTTGTCCAGATCAAGGTGCTCGAAACTTCGGAAGCAGAGCATACAACAGAGACAGACTTGTTTTTCCCAGTGACTTAGAGGTAAAGAGAGGAAAAGCAGGTGTGTGAGGAATTATGTCATGGCAGGCATGTAGCCGGGGGGGGGGGGGGGGGGGGGGGGGGGGGGGGGGTTGGGGCTTTCACCCCCCCCAAATTCTCATGGTGGTCTGAGAAAAGGTCTTACTGGTACATTATTTAAACTGTTATGTTTATTCATATCATGATCTGATCACAATGTTCAATATATCTCATATGCATGGGGATATTGGGGTAATGATACAAAAGGTTTGCTAGGGTAGGCCCTCTTTCACTCAGACTCAGCCCCCCCCCCCCCCCCCCCCGAATCAAAATCCTGGCTACGGGCCTGTGTCATGGGAGGAATTGAGGCCTTTTACATGGTTTTCTGCTGGTTACAATCCTTTGTGAGAGCAATACTGTATTCAGGTGAACAGCCCTTGGTTCCTGTCTTTATGTTTTGAAATTCGTGTATTCAAGTTTCTGTTTCTAGTTTTATGTGTGGTATAGGTTGCCTGACTTGGATTCATGCTCTCATGTTTATGGATATCTGTGGATGACTCTTGAGACTGTATCTGAAAGGTTTTTGCAATCTTGGCTATTTTGGAAATAACTTTTTGAACTTTGATTCTCCTTTTTATAATGGCTTAGTTTTTATATATTCTTCTCTTAATAAACTGTTACTTACTGGATTACCCAGACAGAGTGTGGTTTGTGGTGAAAAGGTGTTTCAGGGCTCTAGTGCAACAATATCCTTAAAATACATTATTGTAACTTTCCGACTCTTCAATCTTAATCATTTTTATTCCCATTGTACAGGTGAGCAACTGAGACTGAAATAACAGGATTGTGAAAGGAAAATACCCCAAGCAGTGCTTTGAATCTTTTATGTTTCATTGTTCCTTTATAAATCCATTTCTAATCAATTTCTTGAAAGCATGAAAGCAGGTGAGTAGTACTAGAAGCCTGAAAAGTCCATGAGACAAGAAGGGATACATTATTTATATTTTTATTACTGCTCAGAAAAAAATTGCTAGCAGATTCCTTAACAGAATGTGTAATTGTTGAATATTGTAACTGCCATTTCTTAGATGTCACACAAGGTTTTTGAATTGTTTTGTTTTATATGTGCTTTTTTTTTAAAATGATTTTTATTAAGTATTTTATAAAACAAGACAACGAAAGAGGGGGAACAATAAGAAGGAGATAGAAAAGTAGGAAAAAAGAAAAAAGGACAAAAAAAAACAAAACAAAAAAAAACTATATGTGCTTTTAAAATGGAGGGAAAATAGGTTAAATTATTCTATGCCATTTCTTTTGAAGCTAGAGGCCTAAAGTGAATGAGAAAAGCTAATGATTTACTGCATGGGCAAGTTTAAAATATATGCGCTAGTACATTTTACTGCCCTGTATATTCATGCTTTGTTCCCCTGGCTTTTAAACCATGAATAGAGAGAGAGAGAAAGAGAGAGATAATAACTTCCTAAACCCAGTGATATCTTTTGAAAAATTGCCCTAACAGATAATGGCAAAGTTAAGAAAACACACAGCTATAAATACATAATTTCAAAGTAACCTCATTGCAGCCGGGCATCTTTCTGCTTGTAACACAGAAGCTGAGTTCTTATCTTCATATTTTCATAATGAAAGCTCCCCAAGCACAAGCTACTGTGGCAGATTTACAGCATTTGAGCAAGAGAACTGACAGACAGTTTAATATGAAAGGAGATATGATGTCTTTAATGTACTGTGATGTTACCTCTAGAAGGGTAGAAAGTATATGTGGGTGTGGGGGGAGCTTTGTTCCTTCTACTATAACCACCAAAGCAAATCATACTTGTCCACTGTATAAACAACCTGAGAAAAGTAATAAATTATTGATAAACTAAGCTAAGGGATTCTGCATATCTAGGTGGAAAGCACACTTTGAGGTTAAAGAGGCAGGTCCAACACAGAACATGAAAGCTCAGGACAGTCTAGACCAGGCCTGCACAGCATATGGCCCGCGGGTCAGATGTGGTCCACAAAGGGCCTCTCTTGGTTTCCCCTTGGGCGGTTGGCTCTGTGCCTCCCTGCCTGACCAGAAAGGCAGGCCGGCGAAGGGCCAACTGGCAAAGGAGAAAGAAGCCTAGGGCTTTCGCTGGGCACTGCAGGCCACTGTTCTTCCCTTCCTCCTTTCCTGGTCAGGCAGGCAGGAGGGAGGAAGAGTGACCTGCAGGAATTTTAAAAAAATATCGGCCCTTCAGAAGGGCCAAGTTGTGCAGATCTGTTCTGGAGAAAAGAAAACCTTTGGACCATCAAAAGAAAGACATGAATGAGGACAGATAATGGATGTCACCAAGGGAGTGCTAAAATAATCATGTGATTGATTATTGGCTGCCTTCACACACACACACACACACCCCTTTTCATCTTGATAACAACAAGGGATGATTAGGAAGAGCTGCTACAGAGTTGTGGACCTCACCAGGTGCCCAACCCTGTCAAGTTATGTTGCCTACTCTGATCACCTGAATCCTCTGAAGATGTAGACCATCTTTTTGTGAAATAAAAATCCTGAAATCCTCACCACTTTCCATATTTAGTTTTAAATCTCACATCCATTTTTAAAATATTTAGCAAGCAGTTCTAAATGTATCCCTATATTTCCCTTGGGGGTGGGAGGTAGCATTAAGTAGAAAGGCACTGAATCTATGATCTTTCAGCGTGTCTCAATCCTACTCTTTTAGTTCATTAATCAATGGACATTTCAGCATTTGTGAGACCCTTAGGTATATGGCTGGCAGCTTTCTGGGCTCGTAGCATCATGGATTTCTTTCATGATTATGACCTCCAAAATGATACTTGTGGTGTGGCGTCAGCTGACCATCTATCTTTCAAGACTGTTAAGTAAAATTATACAAGATTGACCCTATTATCTGTTTCAGTGGCCTTGCCTGAAGGGAACGTATTAAACATGAAGTGTGAAGGTCATCATGGAGAGTTCTGGCAGGCATTCACTTTTCAGTGGTTCCACATCTTCCTGGAAGAGAAATCCCAAAATTTAATTGAGGTGGCAGTAATTTTTCTGACATCTTCTTAGAGGAGATTACCAAATGTGAATTCCCTGCTTCTCCCCCCACCCTCACAAAGAAGTCTTAACTACCATATATACTTGTGTGTAAGTAAACTTTACACATATAAGGCAGGTTTGGGCTGGAAATTATGGTTTTTTTATGACTTGTGGATAAGTTGAGAGTCATTCTGCTCTTGGCCACGGCCGCCATTTCCCCTCCCAGAAGCGGTGCCATGCTAGAGAAAGTAGAGGAGGGTCAGTGTTTCTTTTAGGTTCTCCTAGAATAAATGATACTCTTGCCTTTTGCCATTCAATTCACATGTGGTTCCTTTTTTGATACAGTACTTACATTGATCCTTAGATCGGTCTATTCCATTTTTTCAAGTTGTATTTCTGACTAACACCTCTAGACTTGTATATGAGTATATATACAGTATATTTTTCCAGTCCTAAGCATGCTTACTAGGTAGGGATTAAGATTAAGTGAATATAGTGGCCCTCCTGGGTAAAGAAGTGTAGGACTGTGTTGTTAATAACATCTTGCTTTGCTAAGTTGAAAATATTAGAGAAAGAATGAAAAAGCTTAGTTCGATTTTAAGTAGCTGCTTTTTTACGACAATGTTCTTGATCATATTTTGATATAATCTGGCCAAAATATGGAAAATACACTTGGGGGGGGGGGTGCAAAACATCCAGAGACCTCCAGCTAGGATGGTCAGGGAGAAAAGAATGGAAGGTGCATTAATTGCTAATGCAGCTTCCATTGATTTAAATGAATCTTCTTGAAGGATAGCTATAACTCAATAATAATGAATGTACTTCGATGAGTATTTTACTGTACCTTTCATAGAAAATACTCAAAAAGGTAACTGTGTTACCTGGCTGCTGCAAAAATGGCAGTGGCCTGTGTCACATTAAATTCAAGATTAATATATGCATTATTGTATGAGTTTAGTAGACTGTTACAAATTTCCTATGAAAGCGCATGCTATAATAATTTTATTTGTCTGTCAGGTGCTATAGATCGGTTGTTTTACTAAAGACTCTCTTAAATTAGTTTTATGTTTGCCAAAGAAATGTATATTTTGATTTTATATGGCTTCCCATCTATAATTCTTTTTACTACATTCAGTGCTGTCTTTATTGCTGGAAAAGTACATAGGTTCTGAGTAAAATATCCATATTTCAGCCAATATAATAAACTGAATAAGCTCAATTAAAATAAATTCAAAGAATAAAATTAAAAAGAAGTGTTTACATACATTAACGAGTTTACTCAATCAGCTGCTCTCCAAATGTTTGATACTATAATACCCATCAGCCCCTGCTAGTGGGGAGATGTGATCCGTAGTCCAAAACATACAGAAGCACCAGTTGGAGCAGCAACTAAATTAGCCTGCATTTGTAGCCTTGTGTTTACCTGGGAATAAGCGCCACTGAATACATTGGGAATTTGTTCTTAGTGACATGTTTAGGAATGTGCTCATAATCTATTTTTACTTTTACTGTTTCCAGACTTGCTTGTTTTGGTGAAAATGGGCACCTATTCAGCTCCTTTCTACTTACTGTCTCGCACTGACAATTGATAGCTTGGGAGACACTTATGGGCACTTCTCTGTCTTGATGTCATGTATGACAATGTTCAACGGGGCCACAAGAACCTCTGCAGATTAATTGTACCTCTGACACAATCCTGCAGATGGATTCTTTTCCAGAAACTATAGCTCACTATGTAAATCAGTTTAGCAATTAGAATGCCTATGTTGACCAAAGGGGAAAAATCAGAGGCAGATAGTAATGAGAGACCATAGTCATGGCTCCAGTAGAACATATTATTAGCATTAACCTTAGCACTAGGTCATGCACTGTCCCTTCTAATGAGTGATGTTAGGGCTTCTCTGACAGGCTTATTCCAAGCAGAAGAGTAACATAACCTTTACTATCTGATTATGCCAGGAGGCATATATGAACTGCAGTAGGCTAGACAAGCCTAGCCCTGTATTATAAAGCATAATTTGATTTCCATCCTCTTTCCTTCTCTGGCCTTTTAATTTCCTGGCAGCAGAGGAGAATCCAACAATCCAGCCTTGTGTACATTTATTTGGCAGTCGGGTTTCATCAGATTCTATGAGACGGTGCCATCCTAAGCATGTTGACTTAGAAGAAATTACTGAATGGGGTTTACTCCCAAATAGACATTGGTGTAATATAATTAAATGTGAGTCAAGAATTACAGGCAGCATTAGTTACATTCATACTGTATTGAAGAAGACAACCAATATTGAGTGGTGGATTTTGGAATATCATAATTTGAACGTTCTCAGCCTCAGTGGTAAACCCCTTCTGAACAACTCTTGCAATAATAATGGTAAGTTCTCCTTAAGACCAACACAAGTGGTGAATGAATTGAAGGACATTGATTTTGACCATTACTGGTAGAACAAATATTTATTTGCACACCTAATTATTCCCAAAAAAAATCAGAATATTGACCAATAGTAAATAAACAAATTTCCCCAATAAGGAGCCTAAATAATACAAAGGCACCATATCCCATCTGACCTTAAAGACTAAGCAGGCTCAGGGCTAGTTTGATTGATTTGATTTTCAGATCTGTCCAGAGGGACATATTTAAAGAAGACGTTGACTGCCTTCAGAGGGGAGCCAGTCTCCCTGAAGACAGCTGTAAGTAAGTAATTTTTATTGATTAGCCCTTAGGCCATATCAGGGCTAGTTTATTTATTTATTTTTATTTATTTACTGCACTTGTAGACCGCCGTTCTCAGCCCTAGGGCGACTCACGGCGGTGTACAACATATAAAAAACAATTTACAATAAAGGCAATATCACAAACCACAATAACAACATCACTATCAATAATACAATTACACTAAATCATTCGCGACGTCTCATCGTAGAATCACAATCCAATCTCGTTATCCATGTTCCGTTCCAGTCATCATTGCCAATTGTTGTAGCACTTAGTCAAACGCCTTCTCAAACAACCACGTCTTTAGTCTCTTGCGGAATGTCATAAGGGAGGGCGCCTGTCTGATGTCTACAGGGAGGGTGTTCCACAGCCGGGGGGCCACCACCGAGAAGGCCCTGTCCCTCGTCCCCGCCAGGCGTGCCTGTGAGGCAGGCGGGATCGAGAGAAGGGCCTCCCCAGACGATCTCAAAGTCCTCGTGGGCTCGTAGGCCGAGATGCGGTTAGACAGGTATTTTGGGCCGGAACCGTTTAGGGCTTTGTAGGCCAACACCAGCACCTTGAATTGGGCCCGGTAGCAGATCGGCAGCCAGTGGAGCTGGAACAACAAGGGCGTTGTGTGCTCTGCGTCCCGCTCCTGTTAGTAACATGGCTGCCGCGCGCTGGACTAGCTGAAGCTTCCGGGCCGTCTTCAAGGGCAGCCCCACGTAGAGAGCGTTGCAGTAGTCAGGCGGGATGTGACCAGAGCGTGTACTACCGTGGCCAAGTCAGACTTCCCGAGGTACGGGCGCAGCTGGCGCATGAGCCTGAGCTGTGCAAATGCTCCCCTGGTCACCGCTGAAACCTGGGGATCCAGGCTCAACGATGAATCCAGGATCCCACCCAAGCTGCGAACCTGCGCCTTCAAGGGGAGTGCGACCCCATCCAGCACAGGCTGTAACCCTATACCCTGTTCGGCCTTGCGACTGACCAGGAGTACCTCTGTCTTGTCTGGATTTAATTTCAATTTGTTCGCCCTCATCCAGACCATTACAGCGGCCAGGCACCGGTTCAGGACCTCGACAGCCTCCTTAGTAGCAGGTGGGAAAGGAGTGACAGAGTTGGACATCATCTGCGTACAGATGACACCGCACCCCGAAACTCCGGATGATCTCACCCAGCGGCTTCATGTAGATATTAAACAGCATGGGGGAAAGTATAGAGCCCTGTGGAACCCCACAAGTCAAAGGCTGTGGCGTTGAACAGGTGTCCCCCAATAACACCTTCTGGGTGCGACCCTCCAGAAATGACCGGAGCCACTGCAGAACAGTGCCCCCGAGGCCCATTTCCGCAAGGCGCCCCAGAAGGATACCGTGGTCGACGGTATCGAAGGCCGCTGAGAGGTCCAGGAGCACCAACAGGGACACACTCCCCCTGTCTAGCTCCCGGCAGATCATCCACTAAGGCGACCAAGACCGTCTCAGTTCCATGTCCCGGTCTGAAACCAGACTGTGCCGAATCCAGATAATCCGTGTCTCTCAAGAATACCTGGAGTTGTGAAGCCACCACGCTTTCCATGACTTTGCCCAAAAAGGGGAGATTGGAAACAGGCCGAAAGTTGTCAAATTTAGTGGGGTCCAGTGATGGTTTTTTCAACAGCGGTTTTATAATAGCTTGTTTTAAGCTCGCTGGAATTTCGCCTTCCCGGAGGGAGGCGTTAACCACCACTGTTACCCACTCAGCCAATCCCCCTCTGGCCTCCTTCAGAAGCCAGGATGGGCAGGGGTCTAGGATGGACGTAGTGGGCCTCATTCCTCCAAGTATCTTGTCCACATCCTCGGGCTTCACAAATTGTCAGTACTTAGCTGGGCTTAGCACAGCGGGTTAAACAGCTAAGCTACAGAAAATCCTGTCAATTGAAAGGTTGGCAGTTCAAGCCTGATTTGGGGTGAGCTCCTGACAGCAGCCCAGCTTCTGCTCACTTAGCAGATTGAAAACAGAAATGTGACTAGATAAATAGATACTGTTTTAAGTGGGGAGGTAACAAAAAAACGTACCCATAAGGACATGCCGGCGATTAGCTCAGGAGGACTTCAATGGACAACAAAGCTCCTTGGCGTGGAAGATGGTGCGATAGCACCCCCCTTGGCTGGAGTTGAGCACAGCTTCCAGGTGCCAGAAATAAAAAAAATGGGAAAGCCTTTACTCTGTTTATGTATTCTCTGTCCTTGTTAATTGTATAACGGCATTGAATGTTTGCCATATATGTATTCTGTAATCT